GAATTCTGGGAGTTGAAGTCCACCCATCTTCAAGTGGCCGAGGTTGAAAAACACTGCTCTACTGAATTCAGTGCAACTTTCCTTTTGAGTAAAGATGCACAGATTTGAACTGGACCCGCTGCCCGATTGTGCGATTGAGGGAAATAAAGCATGAAACACGCCAGGGATTTATAAACGGGGAATCCACCCCATTCTCCTCAATTCTTCACCGACAACCCAATGGATTGCCTGGATTTCTACGCTAGGAGCCGGCAAGCAAATCTCTGGTAAAATCATCATCTTTCTTGGAATTTTGGCGAGGTGGGACGAGACTCCGGGCAGTTGCAAGAGATGGGGCAATTTTGCAAGACTTCAAAACCATTTTTTAAAAAAGGGACTTTGGACGGTTTCTGTTTTTGCACCCCAAATTGCGCAAGAAGAAGTCATTGCTAAAGAAAGTCGCCAAAGTGCAGCTCGTTTTAAAATGGGCAGAAGTGGCAATCCGGGGGAATTCTGACACATTTGGACCAGAATTACTTAGTTAGCTGATTGACAGACTGAACAGCTGCGTTAATATACAAAATCAACTTTCCCCAATCCATTTTCCTCTAGATATGTTTACAGCTCTCAGAATTCCAAGTCAATATGGGGGGGGGATTAATGGGAGTTAGAGTCCAAAACATCTGGACAGCATCAGGTTTGGAGGAATGGCAGGATTGCTAGAATTATTGTAGTATTTTAGTGAATGTTGCCGCATTTTATGTCCACCGGCTATTTCGAAGCGGGGAACCAAGATACCAGATTTCAGAATTAAAACCTGTTTTAAAAGATATTTTGCAAGCACCCCTAATTTTTTTTTTGTTTTTTAAATAGCAAGAAACTCTGAAAACATCCTTTAAAAAAAAAAAATTCATGGGAGACTTCTGTTCCCAGCAGGATGTTTTTTTTTTTTAAATCATGCTTTGATCCACAGCCCCAAAACATTAGCCATCTTCTAGGTGCTTATGAAAAGAGCTTCATACGTTATTTTATCCCTGTGTTGCAAGGGCTGAGAAAGGGAGGAGAATCTTATAAGCCTACTTGATAGGTCACGACATCCAGATGCAAATATAGCATTGAAAGGGATCTAGATCGATAGACCTGACTCAGAATTAGACAAGTTCACATGTTCATACAGTTTACACACCATGTCGTTATATTTATTCATATCATTTAATTTTAATACATAAGGATTGTACTAAGGACAGTACTGAGAGCCAGTTTGGTCTAGTGGTGAAGGCCCCAGGCTAGAAAGCAGGAGATCATGAATAAGTCCCACCTGAGGCATGAAAGCCGACTGGGTGACTTTGGGCCAGTCCCTCTCTCTCAGCCCAGCCCACCTCACAGGGTTGTTGTTGTGGGGAAAATAGGAGGAGGAAGGAATATTAGGTATGTTTGCCGCCTTGAGTTATAAAGGCGGGGTAAAAATAAGTAAATAAACAGTAGGCTATATCCGTATGTATGCAACCACCCCATATTCATACCACACAACCCAGCCCATGCTGAGGAATTTTACGATGCAATTCCATCCAGGCCTATTGAGAGGGAAAACCCCGCTGAGCAAAATACGGCTTGTGGGGGTCAAGGACCCCAACTTTAAAACTAAAATGGGCATGCCCTGACTCGACATGCGGAAGGAGCGTGCAAAGGAATGTGTCCTAGAACGATCCAAGAATTGCTAAGGTCAGGGATGACCAGACCCAGAACACGATTCCCTATGGCCGGGTCGCATTCACACCAACCCTCCCCAATCTGGTGCTACCCAGATATGGGGACCCTAAAATCTGTAAAGCAGCTTTGAAGCCCCCCATCCAAGCGGCTTCTGGTCTTGCAGGCGCAAACGGCGGCGCCTTCTTGCGACCCGTCCCAAGCTCTTTGCCTCGGGTGGCTCAAAATCTAGCTTTATTGATGCCACTTTTGGTATCGGATGGGGGGGCACCTCCAGGGGCATTCCCACGGCAAAGAAGGAATCTGGTACTGTGGTCCCCGAGCCCATGCACGAGCCCTAAGCCAATCCCCTCCCCAGGCCGCCCAGCGCTGTTCCTCTATAGGCTCGACCTACTTTTTAAATCGACCCGCCCAAAACCCAGGGACGCCCTCCCGTTGAGGTTTAAAAAACTAGAATACTGTACTTTAAAAAAGGGGGAAAAACCCCCCTTCGACTCCAGCAAGGAGGTTAAACCCCCCCCCGAAAAAAAACTAAGTC